TGTTGTGTATGATTCGTTTTTGGGTGTATTTTCTATTTGCCTTCACCGATTAGCAAATGGACTTTTGCTTTGTGCATTGGAGATAGCATTCTTATGCTAAGTTTCTACTAATAGATTTAAAACTGAGTCATATAGATTTTAAAACCTCTTTCACAGAAGATTCGCAAAAGCGGCTAACCCTTTCGATAAAGGAGTAATTAAACCTGATTGTCATGATATAAATGAGTACATTCATGAACCGGAAGAGTTTGAATTTACGGAAGAAATAAGAGAGAGAAAGTCACTGGTTGAAGCAAAAGGTATAGAGGTTAACTAAAACTATGACGTGTCGAAGCTGTTGACAAAAGACCAAGGTCTACACTTTCTGAACTTTGTCTCTCTCATCTTTATTAACTTTGTTACAATGTGATTGTGCTTTTTTTTTTAGTACTGAAGGGTCTGATGCACTGCCTTTGGTTTTTGGTTTCCAGATGTTTTTCTTGGAGATGTCATATGGAAGAAAAAAGGGATACTTTTTTTAAGGTTCGATTCTTTTTCTAATACTGCTGTTATATAGAGATTTTCAATAACTTAAATGGAAAGACTTATTTCTCGACTTACTTCAATATTAAATAATGAGACGATTGCAACACAACAAAATTGTGGTACTAATCCCTCTGCAACAAACACTAGACCAAGGCCTATCTTCATGGAATGAAGTGACAAACACACTTATGAGGTCAATTTGTTTATTTTTTCCATCATATCATATAAGTTACTATCTTTGGTAGTTTGCGATTAAATAGCTGGGTTGGATGATATTTACAGCACCCTCTCCATCATAATTGGCAATGGGAAAGAAGGGAAATGGAGCTCTCTTGGAAATTTGGTTCGTTGCATTGACAAAAATGTCCCAAGTAGGCAACATAGAAATACAAAAGAGCGTTCCTATTGACCCGCAATGTCTTTTTTTTTCACTTGCAAGACTTCCAAACAGATCTGCTTTTGGCTTTACGCAAACTTGGACAACGTAATGTTTCTTGAGACTAGGACGTAACCGCAACAACGCTCCCTTAACGCTTTCATCATGGAGTGTTACAAAGGTGCATTCTCTTGTTTTGTGGCAGATCTAATATTAAACGAGACTGGTATATTTTTATGGTAAAAGTTGTAGCTTATCTTTCTAAGGGTTTTAGACTTCCTCTACTAACTTTTCCAACTTCTATGCTACAACAAAAAAAATTATGAATTTAAATATTACACGATGACTAGGTTACATGATCTTGATAGTGGAGATAGATAACCATCCAATTAGTATTTAAGCTTGCTTCTCTCATGAACTTTTAGAAAAGTTTCAATAGTTATTTTACGTTACGGCCTTGCTTCTAAGGGGTTTGGAATATTGCCCTACTGTGTTTGTTCCAATATGTAATTTAATTATATGATTAGCAGGAAAATGAGGTTAACACATGCATGTCGTGGAGTCTAGTAGTTCATAAGGGATGCTTCTCAGGACTCACAAATTGTTATTTCGAGAAGTACACCTACAAAGAAAGATTTAGAATTCAGCAAAGAAACCACTATTGTATTGAGTTTATGTGAACTAAGCATCCATTAACTGCTACAAACTACATTGTTTAAACCTAGCTACTAAGACATTTTGTTAAAAAAGTAGAATGTAATATGGGAAAGCGTATTTATCTTTGATTTTAAGGCTAATGTGACTCACTTTTACTTTGACAACACAGTTCCATATATACTTTTCAAATTATAGTTTACTCGATTAAATATATTTTAAAATATAAATTTCTAAGAAACTATAATGAAGAAAACCCGCGCATATGCGCTAGTACTCACCTAGTCATATATAAAGATGATTTTTCAAACTCTCGCAGAAAAAATTGTACGAGAAATAAACATAGACGAATCTGAATTTGATTACGAGATTCAATGACCGTTCTTCAAACTTTCGCAAAAATCATCTAAACTCCATAATACATAGACAAAAACACATAATCCAATATTATCACTTAGTTAATATATTTCTTATTGCTTTGATAAGGAAAAATTGAATTGTCATGCAAAGGGAATTCAATGACTCAAGGTAAATAAACGGAATTATCAACAAAATCCATCTTAACTCTATAATCTCCTATACATAAAGACATTAGTTAACGTAATCACTTTGTAAGTATATTTCTTATTGCTTTGATAAGAAAAAATCGAATTGACATGCCAAATGAAATTTAAATCAACAAAATTATTCATTGCATTGTTAATGTAAATTCCTTTCACTTGTCAATTCAAGTTTATTTTGTTTTCTTCTTAAAGCAATAAGAAAAATACTAACAAAGTGATAATGTTGATTTATGTCAATGTCGATTTTTGGATTTTAAATGATTATGCTGATAAATATCTGAAAATTCTGCAATTTGAAAGATAAATTGTCACAGTCACAATAATTAAAGACCAAAATTGAAAAGAAAAAAATCAAAACCCGAAGCAAAAGAGAAGAGAACATAAAAAAGAGAGAGATTTTGTAGGACGAGAGTCAATTTGTGTCTTCCTTCTTTGTTTTAGTAGTTTTGAATATGTTTTTGAAAAAAAAAAAACTTCAAGAAAGTAATTTTGAACATAATTTGCATCGTCGATGTTTTCATTACCTTCTTCCTCAACATCACAAACTAAAGCCAAGAAATCTACTGATTGTGTCGTCATTCGTTTCAATCTCAACTAAATTAACTGTCTCACTAACTCTCTTCACATCTA